TATGAGCTACAACTTATGGCAATCTTAACTCCCTTGATAAAATGTTTAATAGATTATAAAAAAATGCTAAACAGGTGCCATTAGTCATAGCTATAATCAAAATCAGAGAGTTGTAAATGACTAAAGTAAACTGATTAAATTTTTCTGGACAGCTCTTTTCAAGGATTCTTGTGATATAATAACTTAGCTTCTACCTTTGGTAAATTTATAATAGTATTTCCCAAAGAGCAATGGAAAAACATATGGTGAGTACAAGTTGGATACAACATATTACCAAGAATGATTTGCAGGGAAAGAGTAATGGGAATGGCCTCATCAAGCACATTTATCACTAGGAAAGGAGGTGGGGCTGATCACTTAACCAAAAGAAAGACAGCTCAAGTGGTAACACTGTTACCTAGAAAATGTTATAAGAACTAAAGTAACACTTAAAGCACATTGGGTAGATTGACTACAGAAGATTTACACATTGTCATGTATAAGAATTGTACCAGATGAGAACACATGAAGAGGCTATGATCTACATCAGCGAAGAAAAGAACGAGGAATGGTCATGGGTCCATCAAAGTAGTAACATTGGAACTGTCAGAAACTTGGTGACTAAGATATCATATTCATACCAGCTAGAGATAAATTAACTCTAATCATTCACAAGCCACAGTAAACAAAAAAAATCTAAGATCTAAAATTTTATTTGGGAAATCTAGGTTCCATGTAACTTAAATCACAAAAATTTTTAGCACCAAAATATGTTTGTAGATTGTATAAACCTTCATTTCAGTCATAGTAAATGCCTTTAAAGAAAAATACGGAGACAGTGACAGAGGTAGGTATGAAAGATGCTGTTTAAATGCTTTAAAACTCTCATGGGGGATTTTTAACTAGTCCAGTTGTTTGATCTAAAAATAATGTTTTGCTAGTTGAAACATCCTCTTAAATCTCCAATGAAAATAAAAAAGATGAAAATACATGTAACTTTTAAAAAATGAACCTTTCAAGAGGCACGCTTACTTAGCCAAATTAAATGAGGTTCCATCATTTTGTGGACATGCACTTTCTCCTATGTAAGTTCTAATACAAATATATAAAATGAACATAGCACAGCCTTTCCTCCACTGAAATTTCTATGAATTCACATAAATATCTAAAAAAGTGTGATACAGTGCTCAGAAGAGCACAGAGATGGGCTCACACACAATACCCTGAAGACTTACAAGTTTAACAAATACAGTAAAGAGACATCAATGACCACAGTTCAGGTGTGTATGTGTGTGTATGTGTGTATATACCCACACACATACATAGAATTACACATACATACATATATATGTATTGTATAGTATACACATACATGTGCATATTATGTATGTGTGTGTATATATATATATATATGTGTGTATATATTATACACACACACAATAAATACTTCCTCACCATCCTCATTATAAGGCTATATTTGTTTTGTGTTTTAAAAGGCACCTCTCCTTCCTTAACTATTACCTTCTTTAAAAGATCTATTCATTAAAAAGCCTAAATGTTTAATATAATATTTTAGAATGGAATATTTTTCAATCCACATTTGAATAGCCAGTTTTTCTTACATTCAAATTTTAATAAACTAGAATGACAATCTTTCCAACAAGCATGCTGGCCTATAGTGTATATAATATATACAGTAGTTAAAACATTTAAAACTATATATTACATAAGCAAATAGTACAACACTCATGTCATACTCATATCTTACCCTTTGCATATACTTCCCCAAAAACTCAATACAAAAAACAGTGAAATGCACCTATGGTTTAATAGATATAGTGTGTATATATATATATATATATATATATATATGTATACACACACATACACACACACATATATATACACATATATATATACACACACATATATGTGTGTATTCCTAGTAATATATATAATATATATTTATAAAATATACATAACTTTTAGACATTTTCAAATAAATCTTTATAATTGATTCCAAAAGAAATATAACAAGAATACTAAAGGAAAGAAAGTCAAATCCATGGGAAATTTCTCACGTAAAGTTCATTACTCAGTGATGCAGCCCATTTTCACCCCTTTAATTGGCAATTATAATGCATTATAAAAGCTAAATACTTTGCATAACTTATTACCTATTTAATGGCAAAAAATCCTAACCTTGGTCAATAGAAAAATACTGAAGGTAATAATATCACTGATGTTAAAATATCTGTTTCTGATCTTGTCTGAATACAGCAAATGGGTTTTTATGACATTTCAGTACTGAGAAGGGTATTGCAAGCTCCAAGAGCACAAATGTGTCTACACATCTCATGTAAACAAGGCAGGAGCCTGTCCTTCCTTACCATTCTCTATTTAAGGATAAAGTTCATGAAAAAAACACAAACCAAAAACTACAAAAGCATTTTTATCATTGGGCTGGAATCTTCAGTTCCCATCTGCTGAATTCAAGCTGAATTGGACTCATGTGAACTACACTACACTGGTTGCTTTGGTAGATGTCCACAATGGGGCTTATTGTCTCTCATGGTATACACTGGCTTCCGAATGGACTTTCACCAGAGCCACCATTCACACTAGTCTACACACTGCATGGTTATTTTCCATGTGTAAACAAATACTTTCGGAGGCATAAATAAGACAATTGGTGGCTTGGCCTTGAGAAGTTCAGTGAAATAGGCAAAGGGAATTCTGAAGACTTAGAAAGGCAGGAGCTAAGAAAAATAACTAGAGCTGGAGCATCTCAAATCAGCGCTTCTTGCTTGGAGCTTGCCAACTTCCCTCAGTAAATATCAGATCCGTGATTCACCATTTTCTCATCATGAAGAATGTGAGAACAGAATTTACAGAATACAATTTGTCATTCTACTTCTTCTTGGCACCATAAACATTCATTCATTAGTACCTTACCACTATAGGAAAGGTTTGAGGTACAATTCATTTGCCAACACAGAAGGGACTTGTTAACCTAAATGCTAATGATAGGGTATGGAAGTATAGATGAGTAAGTAGGGTAATTATGCCAAAATAAGATGCTAGCAACTATAGCCCACAGCAATACAGTAGCATAAACACACACACACACAGCTATGAGAATCAGTATAGGCCATTAGCCTGTATCAAACATGAAATCAAGATACCATGGGAGACAGGATGGGAGGGTATTGTTGTCAGAAGGCTGCACCATAGATGTGTGTGCCCTCATAGAGACAGTCAACACCTTCAAATTTTGTCCTGTTTTTTGTTGTTGTTGTTTTTGGTTTATTTATTTTTTCTGCAGCCAATCATCCAGTGCAGTGTCAGGCTCACAGGAGAATTACTTCTCTCTTGCTATCTAGAACTCCAAGAAGAGACTTCTGTAAATTTAACCCTCTGATTTATCTAACCACCTTGAAGCCAGCAAAGTCAGTGGGGAGGGGACTCTCTTGTCCTATGCCTGGTGTTTGGGATCGCCAGTAGCACCAGTGCAATTTTATTCAGCCTTGACTCCTGTGTGATCTTTGTACAGGATTAGTTTCAGCAATAAAGCTGTAGCCTAAAAGGAAGTTTTAGTCTTTCTTCCCAGAGGGGTAGTTCTCATCTAACCATCTAGGACTGGGGGAGAAAGCCCATTTACCTTAAGAAGCCCTTTGGGGACATTAGCACAAAAGTAAAGACCAATGGGTGGGATTTTCTGAAACAGTTCCTATGAGGAGATTCCTGGTCCTTTTGTTGATAAGAGAGTATCCTTAAGAGTCCCTTAACATCCCTTGTGGCAATCCTAGCTTACCTGTTTTGATGGATTCCAAAAGAGAGGCCTAGGCATCTCTGGAATACAGTTACCACAAATTCAACATTACTGGGAGGAATCCAGTGGCTCATTCTATGCTTCTTAGATTTGAGAATTGAATGAGCTCATAGAAGGAGCCACTGGAGTCCTCATGACCAGAACAGTGGCGAAGCCAATATGATCAAATTTCCCCATTGTAAGATAGTGCCCTTCTCAACTATTAATGTATCAGAGAGGTATCAGCATTCTAGATCCTAAATTAATATTCCCCTAGCCAGAGAAGTAGATTCAGAGCCCCAGCAGATAGGTGAACAGTAACCTGGGAAGGACAGGAAACCACAAGCATCTTCAGGGCAGTGATATCTGCAGTATCTCTTGAAGAAAAAGATGACATCACAGGCTCGACTAAGGGTCATGCAGCATTTGCTATCATTAGGGAAGAGCTGTGTGTCTTTTTAATGGTCCACAATCTCTCCACAAAAGAACTAGATGGTACCACCTGGGATAAGGGATTGAAGAGGTATCTGGATCTTTGTTGTTCTAGGATACAGAATAGGGCTTGCAGAGAATCCTTGTCCTCATCTCGTCATACTAACCAGTGACTGGACCCCATTGCACCCCATAATGTATTTAAATTAAAACATTAGAATGATAATTTATTACATATTTTATATATTTAGTATTAATCATAAAATATAACCCATAACAACTACACCTGAAACACCACTGCTCTGACACTGATAAAAGTTGCAGAAAAAATTTTCAGGAGAGCAAAAGGGTTTATTACGGCCTGTTATTTTTTTAACTTGTGAGGCTACTGAAAGCAAAGTTGTTATGTTCAATGATTTAAATATGTTTTCAATTGGTCCTTGGGTTTGGGTGTCCAAGAGAAGGGGTGGGATAGGAGGTAAAACAGATTTCAGTTAGGCAGTAAGGTCAAGGTACTAGAAATCTGAATAGTACGAGGTTGAGTTGGGATCAGAAAGAAATAATCAACTCTAAGTCATAGGTTTTCCAGAACCAACAACTAAACTCATTGCTCTTCCAAAAAAAAAAAAAAAAAAAAAAAGTCCAACCAGAAACAGTCTAAGTCTAAGGTCTTTTAAAAAAAAGATATGCAAACTGACCCTTCCATCCAGATGTCCTCCCTACTAGCAGAGTTAAAATAGGATTTCTGAAGGTATACTGCTTGTGCTTTGTTTAGATCTTTTTTTTTTTTTTTTTTTTTTTACAAAAAGCAACAGGATGGACCTAACTCAACGCTAGCAGATTGAATTTGGGTTACTTTTTTAAACCAACATAAAGTATGATAGTATTATTGAAGGCTATCAGATAGCCCAACCTGAGGTTTAGGGAAGAAAGAGAATATAGATAAAATGAAGCATGGTTATGTGAACATAAATAAATGAGAACTCTCTAAATACATTTTTTTTTTGCTTTGCATCTATCCAGCTGTGAGTTCATTGATAAGAATGGTTAACCATTTTGATATTATAAACATCACATGAACAAAACGGAATTTTACCAGTAATACAGGTCACTTGCATCAGAGACCTGTGCTAGTGACTGTCCTTGAATAATAAAGAGACTCAAATTTGAATGTTTGAATAAGTGAAATCCCTTAGTAAATGTAGACTGTATCAAACATTCTCTTTAAAGCTGAATATCTAACAACTAAACTCTCAGTCACTTGGTAACAATTCTATTTTCAAAAACATAATACAATATATAATTTTGCCTGCAAACTAAGTATCTGATTGACATACTGAATAACATATGTAACATATTATTGCATTTTTTTTAATAGGTAAAATGTTTTGCCAGTCACTTTATGTGTAAAGCTCATAGACACGCTAAACTAAACTCCTTTCAGAACTGCCAAGTCATCATTCACAAAAGGGTTAGTCCAGTGGGCATGTTAAAAGACACTATTTCGACTACCTAACGTGCACATTTGACAAAATTTCTCAAATGAAAAACATGCTTAAGTTCCCCTGCTCCCTCCACCCCTCCCCAATAAATCATGTTATTGATGTATCCCTCCCTTAAAGAGTGCCCCAATTCCTCCAAATGGACTAAATGAACCTCATTTCGCTCAGGCCTGCCCGGCGAATAAGAACCCCCTCACAAATAAAAGCATATACTTTCAGAATAATTTGAAACAGTTTTCAGGCTCACAGAACCAGCTGAGCTTGCAGCAACCTGAACAAACCTTAGTTTTAGAAAACAGTACATCGACTGCAAAACTATATTTTAACAAATGTTCTCTGTGCTCCATTGGCAGAATGAAAGGGCAAGAAAAGGTGACCTTCCCCCTTGTCTTCTGTTATCTCGTGTGCAGCTGATTATACAGAAAAAGTGAGAAGCTGAAAGGGAGGCATCATGTCATACGAAGACTTTGGCTAGGGCATCTGCTCCAGCACTGGCGATATAACATTTTGATGGGTGGAATGCCACATCATGAATCGATTCCTCAAACTTTTTTCGATGAGCTGTGAACTCCTGGATACAGGTCTTGCTTTCGAGGTTCCATAAACGTATTGAACAGTCATGACCTAAATACCAAAATATGTGAAATTTTAAAAAATAAATTCGATTACATAGAGACATAAAGAATACATAGATTTATGTGTGATGTACTTACTGCCAGACATCAAGTATAGGCCATTGGGATCAACTGCTAAACTCGTAACAGCTTCTAAGTGGGCAACCATTGAATGGATCAGTTTACCTTTGAAAGAAGAGATTGTTACTCACTATTTTTCTAAGCCTGGACAAAGCAAATTCCTACTTATCTTTGGGTGGATTAATTGTCTAAAAGATTATCTTTGTGGCTGAGGGACCAAAAGTCATTTTTTCTTCCATCTACTTATATATATTATAGTGGTTTCTCAAACAGCTATACATATGTCCCCCATTTTCACAAGAAAACTTAGTTTTAAAAAATGCAAGCACAACTGTTGTCTCTGTTAGGAACAAATATTTTGGAATTGCCTATATCTGAGGAATTATGACTCCTTTACTTATGTGACCCATCTTTGGGTAAAACATCATATATTGTTTCAAAGGTAATCTACTTTTATAGAGCACTTTTCATAATTACACGGTTTTCTAAAACAGAATTAGTGCAGTGGAAAGAGACCTGAATTTGGAGTAAGAGGACCTAGCTTTGCCCTTACTTGCTCTAGGACCTCAGACAAGTCACAAACCCAGCTTCCACATCAGTAGAATAAGAAGATTGACCTAGATGACCTCTGAGGTCTCTTCCAACTCTAGATTTATGACACAAAAAGGATTATGTAAAAAGAAGTTATAATAACAAGGGTGAAGGCTCCTGTGGGCTGTGGTTGCATGCAAGTCATGCTCAGATCTTAGGTTCAGAACTCCACAAGGCTTTGCTGTTGGCCAGCCTTGAAAAGACTAACCCTATACCGGGTGAACCATTTTCTTCCAAATTCTAGGACCTCCCCTGTACGCAGTTTAAAATTTTTGCTATACCAAAAGGAAGAGGAATGGTAGTCAGTTGTAGATTCTTTTTTATTTTTTCTTACAGAAACGGAGAATGGTGTCCCAAAAATAAGAAAACATTACATAAATATATTAGGAAAATCTGCAAGGCAAAGTTATTTCTCTGCAGGAAACAGCATAACTGTTATCAATTTAAGTGAAAGTCAATTTAAGTGTCTTGCCCAAGTTCATAAAACAAAAGGTAGAAATTCTCAGTAAATAATAACAATCAATTTAGTAATCTAGGTATCTTTTCTATCTTTTCAACTATGTCACTAAAATTTGTGGATACCTTCAAAGGTCAAGTCTTTTAAAATGAGTCAGCACAAAATATGCAGCAACATGCTAGAGAGAAGGGGAAGAAACTGAAGGACCACGGTTTGGTGTTGTTTTTGTTTTTTTTTTCTCTTCTCCCCACCCTCAGGTCTGAGAATTAGAAAGATTGTGAGGAATAGTTAAAAAAGTAAAAGATTTGGAGTCTAAGGACCCAAGTTCAAATCCTATCACTGCCTCTCATTACCTGAATGACCTTGGCATATCTCTCTGGGCCTCAGTTTCCTAACAGGCAAAAGGATGGGGTTTGATTAAATGGCCTCTAAGGTCCTCAAAGCTCTATATCTTTGGTGCTACCACAGTCTAACAAGGAATCATTTAAAATGATTTGCCAGAACAATATGAACACCCTCATTTATATCCATATGGCTATGGCATGACCCTACAACCTATATTTCTACATAGAAAAACCCAGGCTACTGGAAATTCTATAAAACTAAGTTAATTCTTGGCTGATCTTGATTAGTTACTAAACAGTAAGGGGTGGGGCGAGGAGGGAGGAAGAGGAGACACTAGATGGCACAGTGGATAGAGTTCTGGGCCCAGAGTCAGGAAGACCTGAGTTCAAATCCAGCCTCTGATGCTTCCTGTGTGACCCTGGGAAAGTTCTTTAATGTTGTTTGCCTCAGTTTCCTCATCTGTAAAACGAACTAGAGAAGAAAATGGCAAACCATTCCAGTATCTTTGATGAGAAAATCTCGAATGGGGTCACAAAGAATTGGACACAACTGAAATGACTGACTGACAATGACAACAACAACAAGAAGCCAAAACAGTAAAGTGTTTCATCTTCAACCTCCATTCTCTGTCCCCTTTTAATAAAAACACTAGGAATAAATTACATAACAATAGTTAACTTTGGTTTGTTTACTCTTCACAAAAATAACTATTGTGGAAGAATATCTTACCTGTGTTATTATCATAGAATTTAATGTGTCTGTCTTCATGAGCAGTGATACTGATTGGAAGGGTTGGATGACTGATGACTCTATTTATTTGGCAGGACATGTTAGAGCCTAAGGGGAAAAAAATACAAATTAGTTATTAGCATTTTCACACACTGCATGTTTACTATGTAAATCATAAAAAAAACAAACCTTTAATTTGTCCCTAATTAAGTCCTTTTGTGATTGTCTCCCCAGTTTTAAAGAGAAAAAAAAAAGACATTTAAAATGTGCTAAGAATTAGAATTATTTTCTTGCCATCTACTGCCTACAGACGTGCATTTGGGTTTAACTTAGGACCTCTGGCATTTCTCTTCTTAAGAGTTTAGACCTCAGATATTTTTTCTACTTCAATAATTTTCACTTTCACCACTAATCAGCCAAATTCCAAACAAAAAACTCAAAGCCCTCTCTAGATCAACAGTCCCATCTCCCAAGCAATAATACTTGTTTGCATGGCCTTTCAGAAACATCATCTTACTGAAGCCTCAGCACAACACACCAAAGGAGGTAGAAGTCCTATTACTATGAAAAGATAAACCTGTCAAAGGCTTGTTTATTACTCTATAACTAAGGCTTTTGCTTTTTCCTAACTCCTCTCTTACTGGTAATGGAGCACTATTATCAGGCTAGTGCTCCATGCTGGAACACTGGTGCATTCATCACAATATGAGCATGCATTTTTAATTGTGTACATTTTACAACTTTCAAAATACATTCAAATTTATTATCATTTGATCCTCAAAATAAGACAGAGAAGTTTAGAGCATACCAGGGGTGAGGACCTGTGGCCTTGAGGCCATATGTAGCTCTCTAGGTCCTCAAGTGTGACCCTTTGACTGAATCCAAACGTCACAGAACAAATCCCCTTAATAAAAAGATATGTTCTGTGAAATTTGGATTCAGTCAAAGGGTCACACTTGAGGATCTAGAGGGCCATATGTGGCCTCGAAGCCACAGATTCCCCACCCTGATCTAGGCAGTATTGGCCCCATTTTTCAAATGAAAAAACAGACTTGAGGAACTGAAGAACTTTGCCTTCTTCAGGATGCAAGGTTAGTTGAGTGACAGAAAGAGAATAGACCGCCGGGTTTGTGGCTCATGGTGCAATACATTTCTCACTATGCCATTCTGATAAAGTATAACTAGTGAGTTATGAGATTCTGACACCTTCACTGCCAGGAATACTATAATCTCCTTGTTGGGGATGTCCCTAACACCTAATGCCAAGAAAATTGGCATTAAAAAGATTTTTAAAGATGGACTTTAATTATTTAAACCTTTTTCTTTATTTAAATATTAGTTGTTTAATAAAAGAAAGCAAAGAGTTTATATTTGTCCTCAGACATATCATCACAGTATAGCTAGTACAAGCTTCTAACTATCTTCCTTCTAGAAAAACAGGTGACAAGTCATGGATTGACTGCATTACACATCTAACTAGAGAAAGGAAACTGAGAACTAAAAAAGGGAATGAGAAGTTTTCTAGCCATTATGGAAAACAATTTGGAAGCAGACTCTTAAATTGCTAAACTGTTGTGATACCACTAATAAGCCTAAGCCCTAAGGAGATAAAAGAAAGAAGAAATGCCCCCATATATACAAAAATATTTATAATAAATCTTTTTGTAGTGTCAAAGAATTGAAAACTAAGGCGGTGACCATTAATTGAGGAATGGCTGAACAAATTATGGTACATGAATGAGTAGAATATTAATGCACACTACAAAATGAAAGGAATAATTTTACAGAATTATGGGCAGACCTGTATGAACTGCTACAGAGTGAAGAGAACCAGTAGAACAATTTATACAATAACAACACTGTAAAGAAAAACAAAATGCAAAGATTTAAGATCTGTGTTTAATGTACTGACCAACCATAATTCTAGAGGACCAATAAGCAAACAAGAGGTAATGAACTCAAGGAGAATAAAATACACTTTTGGACACAGCCACTTTAGGAACCTGTTTTCTTTGACTTGGCATATTTCTTGCAAAGGTTTTATTTTCTTTTTATTCATTAGAGGTGGGGGGAGGAGAAGATATCTAAAAAAGGAAGAAAGGCAGGTGGGAAGTAAAGGAGGGAGGGTATCTTTATTTTTTAATGCATAGAAGAGAATAGAAAGAATCAGAAAAAAGCAGGACAGCTTAGAAAACTATGTGCTGAATTTGTTATAGAACTAAAAAGAAAAGCAAGCTATATATAACAAAATTTGCAGCTTCACATACAACCTTCTTTTTCTGTTCTACTATGTACATGGAAATACTTGTTTTACTTGGTGTTAAGTTCAGAGTAAAATATTTTCTAAAAAATATTTTAGGAGGAAGAATACTCAAATGTCAAAAAATATTCATAATCAGTATCCAAAATGGGTTGTTTCAGCTTACAACTTTCCATAAAGCAATTCATAATTCATTTAAACTAGTACACATACTTGTATCTAGGTTGGCTTCTAAAGTGAGAATGCGCTGTTGTGTTTCCATGTTAAAGATGCTAGTATATCCATTGCTGAATGATGCTACCATATGGCTCGGATCACTGCTCACTAGATCCACAGAGGCAGGGATTCCCAGTTCTATACCAGCCAAAACATTTTCAAAGAAAACAGTGATTAGAATTTTTATTTAGTAAAGTCTAGATGAAAATAATACTTTACAGCAAAATAAATAATACAATTTCTTACAGAAACAAAGTTTGTCATCAGGGCTAAAAAAATCAATCAATCAACAATTTTATTAAGTCCGTATTAGGGGCTAAGTACTATGCTAGATGTTGGGAATACAAAAAAAAAAAAAAAAAAAAAAATAATCTCTACTTTCAAAGAGTTTGTAATCTGATTAAGAGAGAGAGCATGCATATACACTGGAGGCATACAGTGAAAAACGTTAAAACAAAAGATATTAATAAAAATTTTTTTTTAAAAAAGGTGAGCTATGTCTTGAAGGAAGTGAGGGATTCTATAAGGCAAAGGAGAGGACAGAGTATATTCTAGGCATGGGGAACAATCAGTGCAAAGGAGATATGGGAGATGGAATGTTAGGTGTAAGGAACAGAGAGGCCAATTTGGCCAGATCATAAAGTGAAGATGGAGAATAATATATAATGAAGATGGAAAAAACAGGTTGGGGTCAATTTTAAAAGGCTTTAAAAGCCAAAAAGAGGAATTTATATTTTATCTAAGATGTGTTAAAAGAGTCAATGGAATTTACTGGGTAGGAAACAGCATGGTTAGATCTAGACACTTAAGGAAAATCTCTTCTGGCACCAGTGTGGAGTATGGACTGGAGAAAGATATGGCAGGAAGAACAACTAGATGGCCACTGTGATAGTCCAGGTAAGAGGTGATAAAGGCCTAAACTAAGGAGATAGCTATGAATAGAGAGAAGGGTCAGATGTGAGAGATCCTGTAGAAGGGGCAAAGGCAAGATGTGGAAAATATTGGATATGTGTGGCAAAAGATACTGAGGAGTTGGGCACAGCACTATGGTTATGAACCTGGATAACTGGGTAAATGGTGGTACCCTAGACAGAAGTAGGGAAGTCTAGAAGATGAGTAAGTTCTAGTAGAAAGACAATGAGTTCTGTTTTGGACAAGTTGAAACTGAGATATCTATGTGACATAGTTTAACATGCCCAATAAGCAGTTGTTAATGCAGGACTGGTGCATGGGAGATTCATGTTGGATAGAGATAGTTATGGATCATTTGTATAGTGATAATTACAACCACAGATGCTAATGAAGTTTTATCAATGTATCAATAAGCATTTATTACATTTATTAAGTGCTTATTATTACTTAATACATGAAAATACTATACTAAGTCCCACGAATAGAAAAACAAAAGTTAAACAATCAATCTCTGTCCTTAAGGAGCTCACATTCTATCAAGATCAAGTATAGAGGGAGAAGAGGACCTAGGGCAGAGTCATGGAGAATACCCAAAGTTAGGTGGTATGATATGAATTATAATTCAGCAAAGGAAATTATAAAGAAGGAGCCAGAAGGATAGAAGAAGAACTAGGAGAAAGAGAGAGGAGGGTCACAAAAACCTAGAGGAAAAATGTATACAGGAGAGAGCTTCAGAGAGGTAAGAAGAATGAATGAAAAAATACCATTAGATTTGGCAATTAAGAGGGGCAGTTAGGTGGCGCAGTGGACAGAGCAACAGCCCTGGAGTCAGGAGGACCTGAGTTCAAATCCGGCCTCAGACACATAACACTCACTAGCTGTGTGACTCTGGGCAAGTCACTTAACCCCAATTGCCTTCACTGGAAAAAACTTCATTGGAAAAAAAAAGAAATCACTGATAATTTTGGAGCAAGAAATTTCAGGATAATAGAAATGACCTACCAAAAGTCAGAGAAGCAATAAAAAGCAAAAACAGAATTTGAACCCAGACTGATCCTAAACTAAGTACTCTTTCTATCACAACGCACTGCCTCTGCCTCATCATGTGTCTCCTACATTAGAGACTTCCCTTTCCAAGAGGATACCTCCTTCTACTCTATACAACATCTGCTCCAACCAACAGCAGTATACACATGTACTTTCCTAAATCCGAGGAGTAAGGAATCCCCTTTCTTCCCTCTATACCAATATACTGTTTTAGTCTAACCACTGAATCATCAGTATCAATTCACTCAAGTATTCTGTATAAATATTAGCTCCCCAAGGGCTCATTATTCTTTAGTTTTAGCAACGAGTTGGGTTTCCCACCTCCAAAATAGCCAGCCTATAGGCTACTTCCTGAGGCCCTTAAATAGGCCTGGGGAATAACTGGTACCTGGGTGCCCACAAAGTTTTAGGCATATACTTCCTCCTCCTTTGCTGTTTAGTACTATAACATCCTCAATACTGGAATGGTGCATTTTATGATTTATTAATGAAAAAGTCTAACAAATGGGCAAATCATATTTTTTATAAGCTAGAAAAATCTCACTATTGAAACATGGCAGTTAGATGGCATAGTAGATAGAGCACTGGGTGTGGGGCTGGGAAGACCTGAGTTCAAACCCCACTTCAGACAATTACTAGCTGTGGGACCCTGGACTACTCACTTAAGCTCTGTCTGTCTCAATGTCCCCTTCTATAAGTTGGAGATAATAATAGCACCTACCTCCCAAGGTTGTTGTGAGGATAAAATGAGGTAATAGTTGTAAAGCTCTTTGCACACTTTAAAGTATTATATAGCAGTTATTATCATTGATGTTCCTAAAAACAAGTCTGTCTGTATAATTCTCCTACTAAAGAACCTTCAGTGTATCTCCATCATCTCGAGAATCAAGTATAAATTCTTCAGCTTGGCATTTTTAAGGTCCTTCAAATCTAACTTTAGCCTCCAGATTTATGTAATATTATTTTTCTTCAAACAATTTTTGTTCCAAACAAACTGGATCACCTGTTTTCTAAGTTCAGCATTCCATCTCTCATCTTTTTGTCTTTGCATAATTTGCTCTATGCCTGGAATTTCTCATCTCCACTTAGAATCTATTGCTTCCTTCTAGGTTCAGCTCACTTCTTAGAAGAAGTCTTCCCTGATCACTCTAGCAGATAATCAGTTTCTTTCTCCTTACATAACTATTTATATACTTATTTGTTTACATTTGATATCCTCCCAGTATGAGAGGCACATTGAATAAAGGATCAATCTTAAAATTAGAAAGGCCTAGATTCAAGACTAGCATCTGCTACATAAGAGCTACGTGACCACGGGCAAGTAACAACTTCTCACCAATGCCTCATGCAAGTCCTTAATGTTACATTACATCCGAGTTGCCAACCTTTATTAGTGGAGGGAGTTTATATACTGGCAATTCTCTACAAAGAGACGAAAGAAAGAAAAAGGGAGGAAATGAGAAAAGGAGGATGACAGAGAGAAGGAGAAAGAGAAATCAGACTTCCAGAAGAATTTATGTTCCTAGAAGGCAGGAACTGGTTTTGTTTTGTCTTTGTATTTCCATTGCCTCCTATAGTGAATTGTACATAGTAGGAGCTTAATAAATACTCGATGGACTGGGATTTTAAAATTACACATACTAAATTATAATTATTTTAAGAACTACAAAGAACTATTTCCTAGGCTTAAAATAATAACTCAAATTCCAATTTAAATTAGATTTTAGATCCCTATTTTATATCTAGGATTGCAGTTTTATAAAGACTATCTGTTTTAAGAAACAATTAAAAAAAACATACCTTGATTATCATTAAACACACTTAGGGCTGGAGAAATTTCAGTTGTATTCCATAAACGAAGAGTGCCATCTGCTGAACAGGACAATAAACGCTGATGTACTCCACTATAAGCCAAGCCCCAGACTGCATCTGTGTGGCCCAGAAGCGCACCTCTTAAAACAGAAGGGTCTAAATGAAACAAAATACAAGCAAACATGTAAATTCAAGAAGAAAGACAAGTTAAACAAGTCATAAAAGTAAATTCTAAAGAAAACAAAACATAAATGTAAACACTGAGAAATAAGGAAAATATAATTTCTAATTTCTATTACTCTTATGAAATGCCCCTGGGAATAAGATAAAAAAGTCTCAGAAGTATAGAAAGGGATATATACATACATTATATATATTTTCTATATATAATATATATACATACACACATACATATGCACATGGGTATATATATATATACACCCATGTGCATATGTGTGTATATGTACGTGTGTGTGTGTGTGTGTGTGTGTAAAATTGAAACCCAGATCTTTAATCCTCACTACCATCCAGTCATCAAAATTCTACCTTCATGCTTTGTGTTTGGCAAGTTTATCCCTACAGGTAAAACCTTACACTTTGTTTTAATTCAAATGTATACCACATAACCCTGATCATTCCTGTAATCAAGACCATTTGATATTTTAATTCTGCCCTTCAAAAAACCCACAACTAATACCAACTTGGTAACATCTGTTTAAGTGCTAGATTTGTTCTGTATCTCTTGAATTGCTTTAGACTTAGCTTAGTTTCAGTATGATTCTAAAATAATTTTCCACTTGCTCTAAACATGATAGAGACATTTTTAAAAGCACACTTTTCCCCAGCTCAGGGGGGGAAAAAAGCTCCTAAGTAACCATCATTATGTGAATTTATAGTTAACAGCTAGTGACAGATGGGATTAAGGTTTCCTGGTTCTAGGGGACTTTAAAAAAAATCTGTTGGGGTCTTAAATATTTTGGTGACATGCACTTTAAAAATAAGATTTAAATGACTACCTAGACCTAGGAGCCATAGTACTCATTCCTTCATTGTTTCCAATGTACTCCTTTTACAATGTACTCATTCCAATGTTCCCATTGTACTCACTCCTTCTTGTTTCCATAGTGTACTGTTCAATAATAGGTTCAGAAAACTAAGAAAACATCAAAAACTTTGATAGTAATCCATAGGAGCTTCAGGAAATAATGGGAATGACAACACTAATTTGCCTATGAAAGCTATGAGAAAGAACTATGAAGTATACGTTAGCTGGTACTATTCTCAAAAAGTACTTGATATCAATGACTGTTAGTCTAACATTGGTAATCAATGAAACTAGAAGAAAAGCACGCGTTCTCTGTAAAGATAATGTTCCCCCTTAAACACTAGATGCCCAAAACTCCTAAATTTAAATGTCCTTGAGAACACAATAAAAATAGTTATTGTTCACATTCATACAAGGCCACATACACATCTATGAAATGAGTAGTTACAGAAAATTTTCATATTTTAAAACTATACATGTGTTTGAGTTACTTAGGGCAGGGGGTAGGAGGGCAGAAAAGAGGCATCCAAAGAACATACCATAAGAGTCGTAGGGATCGACGTTTGGGTTTGTTGTATTCCAGCCCTGAATAAGGCCATCTGTCCCTCCGCTATAACACTGCTCCCCATTGCTGCTCATTACCACACAGAGGACTGGACCTCTGGGAGGGTGGAAGAAAATAAATTTATATTCTACCCATGAACAAATCACATAGATAATAATCCATGTTCAAGGAAAAATGTTTCACGATTGATGTGTCAGTCTATTTCTGTTTTTTAATATGCAAACAATACAATGCCAAACCATAATTTAAATTTCCCCTAATTGAATAAATCAATAGTATGGAGCAAGTCTTTAAATTAAAATGAAAGAAATCTAAGTGTAGGGGCAGCTACGTGGTGCAGTGGACAGAGCTCTGGCCTTGGAGTCAGGAGGACCTGAGTTTAAATGTGGCCTCAGACACTGGACACTTATTAGCTGTGTGACCCTGGGCAAGTCACTTAACCCTGGTTGCCTCACCAAAAAAAAAAAAAGAAAGAAAAGAAAAAAAAATCTAAGTGTAACTTATCTGAATCAAAACAATAAAATTAATTCCAAATATTTTTTATCTAGATTGTTTTTGAGGACGAGATGATTCAGGAAAAGTCACGTTTTAATCCTCCTATTTGTTTCAGTATTCAAATACTGAAATTCGGGGGCAGCTAGGTGGTGCAGTGGATAGAGCACCAGCCCTGAAGTCAGGAGGACCTGAGTTCAAATCCAGCCTCAGACCAAACACTTGACATGTACTAGCTGTGTGACCTTGGGCAAGTCACTTAACCCTGACTGCCTCACTAAAAACAAACAAACAAACAAAAAAAACCAAATACTGAAATTCCATATTTAAATAAATTCAATATAATAGAAATATTGTATATAAATGTAATGCAAATAAAATATTATTGCAATAAACACCTAAACTTTGCAATGGCAAGCCTGTTTTTAGAGATATATCATTTTGAGGTTAACTATTTTGTTCACATTTGCAACTTAATGTAAATGAAATTATATATGTTCTATACATTTTAATTTATAATCATATAGTATCTAAAAGCACATACTTACTTATGAGCTCTGAATGTATAGATAGGCTCCACGTCAAGAGAAGTACTCCTAGACAAGATTTATTTTTTCAAAAAGAAGAAAATATGTCTTGTGTTACTGTATTCCACAACTGCTATTATAAAAACATCTTATGAAATGTTTTAAGAAACAAAAAAAGGCTAACAAGAAACTGTTACAAAAGGAATGTAAGAAGATCAATCCACAGTGTGGCGTGGTGTAAAGTGCTGGATGTGCAGTCAGGATGATTTGGGTTCAAATGCCAGCTTTGACAGTAACTAGCTATGTAACTAACAAAGCTCTGTGAGTTTATTTCCTTTTAAGTAAAATAGGATTACAACATCTTTAGTTTCCACTGCACATAATTCTTATGGAACTTGAATCAGATAAGGATAGAGGTAGCTGATGATACACTGTATAGAGCACTGGGGCCAGAGTCTGACTTTATAGCTCAAATCTGGACTCAGACACTTGCTAGCTGTGTAATCCTGGGCAAGTCACTTAACCATGTTTGCCTCAGCTTCCTCAACTATAAAATGGGGATAATAATAGCACATACTTCCCAGGGTTGTTGTGAGGATCAAATGAAATAATATTTGTAAAAGCACTTAGCATAGTACTTGGCACACAGTAGTAGTTATTCCCTAATGTATCTTACGAAGTTATCTGCCAACTTAAAAACAATATATAAATATTAAGTTATATAGGATGAGAGAACTAGAACTGGAAAGGACGTGAGAGGCTACTTAGTTCAACCTCCTCATTTTATACATGGAGAAACTGAAGCCCGGGGAGGTTAAATGACATACCCAAAGTCAGACAGGTAGTAAGAGTCAGAAGGGAGATTTGAACCTAGCTCCTCTAACTGCAAAAATATTTTCACTGTTCTGTGGCACAATGTATAGAGAGGACTCTTCTTTAGATTTAAGGAGATTTGAATTTACTGTCTCTGACACATACTGGCTGTGTAGACATAAGAACATCTCAGTGTTGCAAGGCAATTAAGACTAGGTTACAGATGAACTGCTAATATAAACTGGTGGAGGGAGATATACTAGGAGTTTTTTATAATGAGGCAATCAAAGATCTGGACATATAAATATAAATAGATGAATAAATAAATCTCAGTTATTATTATAAGATATATATGTATAGCTTCAAACAAAGATACAAATGAATTAACATCTTAAACTTAGCATAATAATTCACCTGAATTAAATTTATCTTTTTTTAAACAATCAACCCCAAATATAAAAGGTTTACAGTATTATATGGGTAAAGATTGTGATGTTACATTTAGCTTTCATTCAAACACTAAGAGGGATTTAATATAGGTGGAAAAAATAGTTGAACACATATCAATAAACTTCTACCTCGTAGAATTCCTAGATCTCTTCAAAGCATTCCACTTCCTGCTACCTACCTTTCAAATTAGCTGGTATTTATTTTACATAGCTTGTATATATTCATGTACATGTTGCTACTCTAATAGAAAGTAAATCTCTTGAGAACGGGTTTTTTTAAATTTGTCTTTCACAATTTCTGACATGTTTACTAATTAAACAATACTACAAATGTAATTTTGATTGAATTAAACAGTAATCTTAAAACAGATCCACTTCACTTAAAAAATAAACCCAAACTTAGACTGGGTTGATCAGAAACAAAGTCCAGTTGACAGTCAATGTGTACTGTAATTTGATATAAACAGATGATAATGATGACTGACATTTAAATAGAAGCTCAAGGTTTACAAAGCATTTTACATTTGACATGATACATTTTATTTCCTCAGCTGCTAGTGCCTTCCTCCTAAAATTATCTTGTATCTATTTTGTATGTGTTATAACATACCTATATCCATATGTGTCATCTCCCTAGGGGAGTCTATAAACTCCTTGCAGTGAGGAACTATTTCCTTTTGTCTTTGTATCACAATTATCCAGTACTATGCTCAGCCCATTGTAGGTGTTTAATAAATGCTTCCTGAAAGACTGATCCCAGATGCTAGTGTTTCCTCCTCCCCACAAATCACCTAGAATTTTTTTTTATATATACCTATATATGTTTGTTTTATATTACATTTAAAAAATCAGCATTAGTGACTCCATTTTGCCTTTATCCACCATTTTATGAAGTTAAATTTCAACTCCATGTAAGTCACCTGATTTAGGTTTCACAAGAGTATTTCCCCTCCCCACTGTCACCTAACTTAAAGAATGTCACAAGAATATCCTTCTCCCTCTGATCTCGGTATCTCCCAAGCACCCTTCCCCAATGACAAACAAGATGTCTCAATCCCTATAATCCTGTGTTTCCTGTTTTTCATTCCCTCCAAATTGTATATTAACCATGAAAAACCAAGTTTCTGAGTCGTTGGTAATTGAGAGCCTTGGACCCAGTTTGATTTGCAACCTAATGCACTGCCAAATAGTTACCTGGATATAATTACTCAATTTCTTTATTCCATTATAACAATTCTGATGACCACAAAGGGATTGAAACTGTGAGATTCCATGTGACCACAGGCCCTTAGCTGAAGGAACATTCTTAAGTACTTTGGTTCTACCAGGGGACTTCTCATCCCTAGACCTCCATCTCCTCCTTAATCAACATCCAGACAGTTAAGTGAATGGTCCCTGATGAAGGAGGCATGGTAACAAGCTTTACTAAGCTAATGGATACCTACCTAAGGAAGGTTGGCCTAGAAACATGGGAAACTTCTCATTTAGACAAGGATGACTAAGAAAAGAGCTCTCAAATTATGTAAAGACTGCTTTAAAATATATAAAAATAAAAAGATTGGTATAAAATAAATAAAAATATAAAAAATATAAACATATATATATATAAAAGATTGGTCTAAAATATATAAAAAATATATTTTTTTAAAAGCCTGAAGAAGGGACCTTCAATTACTGACTGCATATTAAAGGTTTTGAGATTGCTTTCAGAAAATTGTGCACAGTGACTTTTTGATTAAATTTTCTTCACTATGCCTCTCTTGATGTGTTGTCTATATTTTTATGTGGAAAAGAATGTAAAAAGTGAAAACCTTTCTGAGAAACTTTTCTGAGTCTTCCGAATGAAAGTCTCTCTTTGCCTTCCTAACTCTAGCCAAGTTAGGGAGACAGACAAGAGATATAGATAAGAAAGGAATCTTCATCCTTAGTCTGCAGGAATTTATGGCATCATAAAACTAATTAGAGAATAAATTTGTTTTCTCCACTACAAATTTCCAAATTGTGGTTTAAATGTTTTAGTGAGTTTGGAGGCCCAACTCTGTATAATTTATTTTAAGGAAAAATAAGAATAACTCTGAGAATGGTACATGGAAACAGCGCTTAGACCTTTTATCACTTTTTCCCTTTTGTAAAGTGACCGATTTACTGTTTTAGCACAAGGGGGAAAGGTAATTTTGCCGATTAAAGAGAACCAAAGCAGTTTGAAAGTAGTATAGTGAAGTTCCAAATTGAAGAAAAAAAATGCATTTGCAGTATAAATTTATCTGGTACTTAAGAAACTGCCTATTAGTAACTCTTCTAGAAGCTTGTTTTTAAATTAGGGAGCAACTTAAAAGTAAGTAAAATTTAATTTGGAAAAATGTTTTGTGTTACCACTATATTTCTTTAGTGAATGATATAACAAAACTTAACTGTTTAAGTAAACTAGTGGCAAAATCATCAGAAATTAAGTCCACGTATTTGTAAGCTTTTAAGAACCCCAAAGGCAAAAATATTGCAATCACTGCTTTTGTGTAGTAAAACACCTGTGCTAAATTACAAAGAAAAAAAAACAATGGAGTGAAGATTAATTTTATAGATAGCCTCAGATATGATAGGGAAATAAAGACTAGAGCAATTAAACAGAAGAAAGTAAGAAAAGTGTCAGATCAGAATATGGAAAGAAAAAAGAAAGATGCAGTTTTGACGGGCTTTAGTTAAGTCCAATGGAGGGATATAAAAAGAAAGGAAGAAAGAAAGTTTGAGCAAGTAGAGATGAGAGGAGAACAGGCAGAAAAGCTAAAGAAAGTCTGTTTACATTGAGTAAGAATGAAGGGTTTGAAAGAAAAGTGGTTTTGAGTTTTAGGAAAGAGGTTTTGATCCCATTGGGATAAGAAAGATATGAGAAACTTTATTTTATTATTCTTTTTGTTTGCGGCATTGAATTATTTTTTAATAAGCAGCTTTTCCTGCCTATGTGTCCTGTCTCCTTCAGCCTTTCTAGAGTTACAACTAAAAACCTTTAGGGAAAGGTGGGGCTAGATTATGAACACAAAGGAATTGATTTGGCCTCGTGACAGTTCTGACAACCATACCTGAAATAAAAATTTAGAACAATATCAAATTATAATCCTGGAGATTTTACCTGAAATAGCAAAATTTCACTGATCACAACTTAGGGCTAGGTTATTATTGTTATTTTTCTCATGTTGTAACAACAGTTAATTATGAGCACAGGTAAGGACATCTTATTTATCTTTTATTTATAACTTAAGAATAATTACATACTAGAGTTTCACACATACTTTGAATATGTGATTTTGTTATTGTTCTACAATAGAAAAAAGAAATAAAGAAATAAAGAAATAAAGAAAAAGTAATGAAAAGCTGGGAGAGCTACCATGATTTTTTTGAACATGAGCTAACTGAAAATAGTAGGTCCTTGGGAAAACTGAGATTTAAATGCTACATAAATCCGGATTTCATTTGACCCAGATTTTGTTCAAAAACTGTTATATATTTAATTTGGGTATATTTTGTTTTAAAATGAATAATAACTTACTGTTGAAGAAAAAATACGTAGCAAAGATCTTTTAAGTTGTCCTTTTTGGTGAAGTTCCTTGGGACTTTCTACTTGAGCAAGATCATAAAATTTTATCAGCCCTGCTGACCACGGATTGTAACATTCTAAAGTACTGAAGTTTAAGAAACTGGGACCATGCCCAGCCAAAGTGAGGAAACTTATTAGTTTGCTGGTAATAAAGAGTGATTTTTATCAGATAGATTGTTTGGCTATCACTTATGCAAATTATGAAATTGTACTAATTAATAATCTGTATTGCAGGTATGTCTTTGAGCCAACTTAGTAACAACAGATATTAGATTCAAAGATTTCATTCTTGCCTTAGGGGTGAATAGGAAATACAGATTGGAGACTTACAGTAGCCAACAATTTTCTGGGGGTTTGGAGTCAACTATCATGTTGAGAAGGAAATGGCAAATCACTCCAGTATCTTTGCCAAGAAAACCCCAATGAAGAATTTGATCATGAAGAATTAGACACAACTGAAATGACTGAAGAACAATAACAAAATCATGTATTCAAAGTATGTGTGAAACTCTAGTATGTAATTATTCTTAAGTTATAAATAAAGGATAAATAAGATGTCCTTACCTGTGCTCATAATTAACTGTTGTTACAACATGAGAAAAATAACAATAATAACCTAGCCCTAAGTTGTGATCAGTGAAATTTTGCTATTTCAGGTAAAATCTCCAGGATTATAATTTGATATTGTTCTAAATTTTTATTTCAGGTATGGTTGTCAGAACTGTCACGAGGCCAGCAGTCCACCATTCAAGGGAAATGCCATGTACTGCCTAAAGGGAATGTGTTGCAGGAACTGCTAGAGGTAGATGTCTATTCCTGGAAAAAGTTAAGGGACAACCTTGGGGTAGGCTAAGGTAGTATCCTCTTGACTCATTTCCCCTTTCAGAGGAGGAAATTTTCCCACCTGGTTAATTCTGAGCCTGGCTATGATAGCTTGTGAATGACATGGAACTTTGTTGTATGACTGACTGTTAACTATGACTTTTGCCTGGAATCAGAGATAAGGGAGATTTACCCCGTCATGGCTCATGTCAGGTCAGTCTGTACCCTCAAAGGGATAGTCTTGATATAGTTAAAACCATATCCTTCCCTTTCCTTTCATAGCAAATTTCTATTACTAGGGCAAATGAACTTTAGACATTTTGTTGTTGCAATACTAAATCTATTCATTAATAGATTAATACTAAAACATTTGGGCTACTATAATAGGAGACAAGTATGAAAAATCTTATTGTTTTCAATCTGAATTAGTACTCAATTCCATATCCTAAAATATATTCATGTATAAGATTAGGTCCTTGAAGTATCTCATTCTTTCAGGGTGATATGGGGATAATATCCTTAAAAGGGGGGAATAAGACTAAGATGTAAGTTTTCTAATTAAATATAGTAAATGTTGATAAAGCAATAGGATCAGATCAGACTGTTTTCTCTAAGAACTAGGATACACCCATCCACACCCACACACAAACATGACTGTTTTTCCAAATGTTTCTAACAGGATATACAGGCCTTGACTAGGTTTTAGTAAACAAGTTCTCAAAACTGGAGTAAGGATTTTACATATAAAATTAAATTGATAATTGCAAAGAAAGTGAAATTATTTTACTATTTTGAAGTCTCTGTCTAATTTTAAGAGACAGAAGGGCTCATTTTCTAAGTCAGACCCTCATGGATTTTTTCTTTTAAGATTTTTTCCTTCAGCCTATTGATGGCAATGTCTGTATCAGGTACAGGATTTAGGTAAAGACAGACACAAGAAGTGGTATGTAAGAGTGGAAATCCTCTGACATTTCAGGTGAATTATGGGTTCCTAATGTGATATTCTTATAGCCCCTGTTGTTAATAGGTTCAGAACCATAAGGCTTGAGCTGGTTCTCACTACATGAGCTAGTTACTAGAAAAGCAAATTCAGGAGATTGTATTAAATTATACTGAGTCTTGTTACTGGCAGATTCTAGCAGAATTATTTAGGAATCTCTGCAAGTGACTTGGAACCGGAGAAGCAGATCAATTAGATCAACTGCTCCCTTCAGAGGAGCCCTGAGAACAAGACCTATTCCAGAATGTCCAAGGGAAGATGTTTTCAGGGACCAGACAGCTATTTGGGACATCTGGGATTCAAGATGAAATGTGCTAATTAAATGGATATTGACAGTGGGTTTACCAGGTTACAAGGAGACTTAACCTTATTTAATATTGATGATTGTTATTGTATTGCTTCAGCTTTTTGTTTCGTGATATTTGTTTGCTGAGTTCTCATGGTTACCTTGACGACATGTAAATCTCCCCTCTCATATTAGTCTCTAGTGAACCCTTTAAATAGTTTGATCTGTAGCATGAATTAATTTATCTATAGAGTCCATTTAACAAGGTTTGTCTCCTTAGGGGCTATATAAGATTATGACTTTGCTTGTCCTCTTTGTGCCTCTCACCCTACCCTTTGGTGCCTCTTAAGGTAGAATACCATTCCAACCAGAAATCCCTGGTGGCTAAAGCATTTAAATAAGCGATGCTGAGGGTTAAGAGCCTCAGTATCAAAGCAGGGAATGTTACATTAAAAATAATTAGTATTAGTTACTCCATTTTATCCACCATTTTATGAAGTTAAGTTTTAATTCCATGTAAGTCACTTAATTTAGAAGGTTTCACAAGAGTACTCCCCTGCCCCACTGTCACCTGACTCAAAAAATGTCACAAGAATATTCCCCTCCCTCCCAACTCAGTGTCTCCTGGGTCCCCCTCCATCATTGAGAAACCAAATGTTTCAATCCTTATAATTCTGTATTTCCTGTTTTTTATTCCCTCCAAATTGTATATTAACTGTGAAAAACCAAGCTTCTGGATCACTGGTTACTGAGAGCCTGGGACCTGGTTCCTTCTCCAACTCATTTTACAGATAAGGAAACTGAGGTAAACAGGGTTAAGTGACTTCCCCAAGGTTATATAACTAGTAAGTGTCTGAGACCAGATTTGAACTCAGAAAGAAGAATCTTCCTAACTCTAGGCTTATCACTCTATCTACTTCCCAACCTAGCTGCCTCTTCCAACTATAAAATGAGGATAATAACAGCACCTACCATTCAGGGCTGTTGTGAGGATCAAATATAATGTTTAGTAGAATGTCTACCATATTGAGTGCTATAAAAATGCTTATTCTCTTCTTCTTACTTTTCCTCCTCCACAGGTGCCTAGCTCCTAATAGGTACTTAATAAATGCTGGGTGATTGATCAATCAGTCAAAGACATTGTTCCTTTTAGGCAATTATACTACATTCAAATGACATCAGATCTTAGTTAAGTGATTAACATGCTAAAATTTAGCTGAGTCCCTTTTGGAAATATTAAATGTCCAAAAGAAACCTCCAACTAATTTGGCTCCAACTCCTTCAATACATCTACAGAGGTCATTCTAAGTTACTTGTCCGGTACCATCTCCCCCATCTACACAAATAAATAAAACACTAATAATTACATATAAATGTTATTACTATATTATTATTAACTACATGTCCCCTCATTTTGGATTAAGTGTTTTAATCGGTAGTAATGAGAATCTTACACTGAGCTTACTCCCTTAGATAACTGAACCTTCATTATAACTCAAAAACAAACTTGAAAAATAATCAAAGGCACTATTCCTGGCCCTTCATGGGAAAAAAAATTCTCTCTGCCAAAATAAACTGGACTAGATGAAAATAAAACCAATAAGCTATGATCTAATCAAACAGTTATCATTTTATCAACTTAAGGTGCTAGCTATGCTAGAGTCCTTGCCTATAAAACAAATCAGGCAGCAGATTTTAGCGAAGTTTTCCTTAACCTTCATCCTATCATTTTAGTGCCTTTAAGGAAGAAAACGACCCATTTTAATTCAGTTTGTTTACATCTATCCACATGCAACAGATCTTCAGGACACAATGGATCTTGTTGAAAGAAAAAAGTCATTTAAAATGTTTAGAAACAAAACATTTTTCATGAATTTTAACCTGTATCCCTCTAAGATTCTTAATGTATTCAAGTCAATACTTTTTAAAAAGTAGGCACAATACTAAAGAAAATAATGAGTGTGCTAGATGGTTAGCAAATTGATATAAGCAAATGTCTCCTGTGAGAAAAATGAGCTATTATAACATACTCTCTCATAGGTGCTGCTGTGGCACTCATTCAAGAAATTCTTCAGGAGTTCCACTAATTCTCTCAAAGAAATTGAGGGCGGGTGGGAAGGAGGCAATTAATATTTTTAACTGAAGATTATATTTCAACTGTTGCAAACATGGACTTTTATTTTTATTTCTGGGCTTACAAACATAAATTCATGGATTAGTCTCAGTCACTGCAGTAAGAATTTTCTATCAATGCTGAGTATTTGATATTAGGCATGCTGTACCTAAAAGTTCTGAGGCTTAGCTGGCAACAAAAAATGAGCATCCTCAGTAGTACTTTAAAGAACAGAAATGATACCTTTTCTTCTGTCAAAATCGTTACTAGGGAAACTGGCACAATTATGCACAGCATAATCTTCTGGTAAACATCAGATAATCATGGTAATGAAGATAGTGGCTATATCTCAAGTAGAAGGTTAAAAGCATAGTAAAGGCAGATGAGGAAAGGCTAGCACCAAATGCAAGGTGAATGAATAACCAAAAAAAAAAAGACAAGATATAAAGGAATATGATCCAGATAATTAAACCTTCAAAATGATTACTTTAAGAGATAATTATAATTTCTTTCCCAGCTATCCATTACTTTTCTACTATGCTATTACAATGCTATTAAAAGAACAAAATAAAGTAACCCACCAAAAAAAAAAATCACAGTATTTACAAGAAAGGTCTTTGCTATTAGTAAAATCAAGAATTATATTTGTGGGAGCATGATTTAAGTGTTCAAATAAAAATGAAATAGAATGTTCTCACTTTTTTGCTGGAGCTGTTTTTTGCAAATTCCACATTTTTAATGTATGATCCTCAGATGCTGTTATCAAAACTGGCTCAACTGGATGGAAAGCAAGTGCTCGAATTCCATCAAAGTGACTCCTTAATGTAAACTTTGGATTCCAGGTTTTCCTCAAAGCATCTTTATTATTTGCTATCTGTGAAACAAAAGAAGAAAATATACAATTCAGTTGAGAGTATGAAAGAAAAAATTTTGTGTTATACCATCATAAAGTACTTACATTGTACAACTTTTAAAAAATATTTTGTTAAATATTTCCCAATTATATGAAAAAAATTTAATACAAGGATCTAAGACAACTCCAAAAGACTCATGATGGAAAATGCTATCCACATCCAGAGAAAGAACTATGGAGTCTGAATGCAGATCAAAGCATACTATTTTCTCTCTCTCTCTTTTTTTTTTTTTGGTTTTGTTTCTTCTTCCTTGTGGTTCCTCCTATTCATTCTAATTCTTCTTTACAACATGACTAATGCATGCCAGATTGTATGCCATCTTGGGGAGGGGGAGTGAAGAGGGAGATGGAGAAAATTTAAAACTCAAAAGCTTATGGAAGTGAATGTTGAAAATTAAAAATAAATTAATTTTAAAACTTTTTTAAAAATTTTAAATCTTTTTTAAAAATTTTGAGTTGCAAATCCTATCCCTCCCTCCAACATTTCCCCACTTCGTGAGATGGCAAGCACTTTGATTTCCATTATCCATGTGAGATCATGCCACATTAGTCAGGTTGCAAAGGAAAATGCAAACAAAATAAAACAATAAAAATGAATAAAGTTTAAAAAGTATGCTTCAATGTGTACTCAGAGTTCATCAGTTCTCTCTCCGAAAGTGGATAGCAGTTTTCATCATTGGTCCCTTGGAAATGTCTGTCTTGATCAGAGTAGCTACGTCTTTCACAGATGATCATCCTTATAATAGTGTTTTTATTGTACACAATGTTCTCCTGGTTCTGCTCACATCATTTTGCATGAGTTCATGTATGTCTTCTAAGGTTTTTCTGAAACCATCCTGCTTGCAATTTCTTTTAGCACAATAGTATTCCATCACAATCATATACCATAACTTGTTCAGTCATTCCCCAATTGATCGGCATCCCCTCAATTTTCAATTCTTTGCCACCACAAAAAGAGCTGCTATAAAATTCTTTGTACAAACAGGTCCTTTCTTTGACATCTTTGGGATATAGACCTAGTGCTCATATTGCTGGGTCAAAGGGTATACACAATTTTATATCCCTTTGGGCACAGTTCCAAATTGTTCTCGAGAATGGTTGGACTAGTTTAAACTCCACCAACAGTGCAATACTGTCCCATTTTTTTCATATCACCTGTAACAGTGGGCAACTAAGTGGTACAGAGAATATAGTACCAGGACTGGAGTCAAAAAAACCCATCTTCCTGAGTTCAAATCTAGCCTCAGATCCTTACTAGCTGTGTGATCCAGGACAAGTCACTTACTTCTGTTTGTCTCAGTTTCCTCATCTGTAAAATGAGCTTTGCTAGCTTTGACTCCAAAAAGGATCATGACAGGACTTAAATGACTGAACACAACAACAACATGTTAGCCAATCTGATAGATGTGAGGTGGTATCTCAGAGTTGTTTTAATTTGCATTTCCACAATCAGTAGTGATGTTGAACAATTTTTCATGTGTCTACTGATAGCTTTGATTTCATCTTCTGAAAACTGTCAGTCCATATCTCTTGACCATTTATTAACTAGGGAATGGCGTTTATTTTTATATATGAGAGAAATGAAGCCTTTATCAGAGAAACTTCTTAAAAAATTTCCCTCAGGTTTCCCGTTTTCCTTCTACTTTTAGCTGTATTAATTTTCTTTAAACAGAAGCTTTTTAATTTCATGTAATTGAAATTATTTATTTTACTTCCCCTAATCCCCCCTATCTCATTTGGTCATAGCCTCTTCCCTTATACATAGATCTGACAGGTACATTTGTCCATGCTCTTAATAGTTTATTTATGATATCTCCCTTTATGTCTAAATCATTTATCCATTTTGGTTTTATTTTCATATAGGGTGTAAGATGTTGGTCTATGCCTACTTTCTGTCAAACTACTCTCCAGTTTCTCTAGCAATTTTTGTCAAACGTTGAGTCCTTATCCCAAAAGCTAGGGATCTTTGGGTTTATCAAACACTAGATTACTATGGTCATTTACTACTGTGTACTGTGTACAATCGAGTCCACTGATCCATCACTCTATCTCTTGGCCACTACCAGATTATTTTGATGATTATCACTTAGTAATATAGTTTGAAATCTGGAACTGCTAGGCCCTCTCCTTTCACTTTTTTTTTTCATTGATACTCTTGACCTTTTGTTCTTCCAGATGAATTTTGTTACATTTTCTAACTCTAAGATAATTCTTCAGCAGTTTGATTGGTATGGCACTGAATAAGTAAATTAACTTGGGTAGAATTGTCATTGTTATTATATTGGCTCAGCCTACCCATGAGCAATTGATATTTCTCCAATTGTTTAGACCTGTCTTTAATTGTGTGAAAAGGGTTTTGTAATTGTGCTCATATAATCCCTGGGTTTGTGTTGGTAGGGAGACTCCCAAATATTTAATATTGTCTACAGTTATTTGAAATGGAATTTCTCTTTCTATCTCTTTCTGCTGGGTTTTGGTAGCATATAGAAATGCTGATGATTTAGGTGGGTTTATTTTATATCTCAACTTTACTGAAGTTGTTCATTGTTTTAACTAGCTTTTTAGTTAATTCTGTAGGGTTCTCTCATCATATCATCTATAAAGAGTGATAGTGTTGTTTCCTCACTGTCTATTTCTTTTTCAAGTCTTTTTCTTGTCTTATTCCTACAGATAGCATTTCTAGTATAATAAAGAATAATAGTGGTGAAAATGGACATCTTTGTTTCACCTCCATCTTACTGGGAAGGCTTCAAATTTATCCCCATTACAGATAATGCTTGCTCTTGGATTTAGATAAATACTACTTATTTTAAGAAAGGTTCCATTGATTCTCATGCTTGCAAAGTGCTATTAATAGTTATTTTGTCAAAGGCATTTTCTGCATTTATTGATATAATCCTGATTTTTGTTGTTTTTGACATGGTCACTTATGCTGATAGTTTTCCTAATACTGAACTAGTTTTGCATTCCTGGTATAAATTTCACCTGATTACAGTGTATGAGTTTTATGATATATTGCTATAATCTCCTTCCTGCTATTTTATTTAAAATTCTTGCATTGATATTCATTAAGGAAATTGGTCTAGAGTTTTTTTTCTCTGTTTTTGCTCTCCTTGGTTTAGGTATCAAAACCATTTTTCTGTCATAAAAGGAATTTGGTAGGACTCCTTTTTTAGCAATGTTTTTCAAATAGAGTATTGGGATTAATTGTTCTTTTTTTTATTACATGAATGTATTTTTATTATCTGCTCAAATAAACATATTTTTGAGAACTACAACACATTTTCTTTTTTTATTAATTTATTTTTTTTTATCAACAATCACTTCCATATGCTTTTGAGCTTAAAATTTTTCTCCCCCTTCCTCCCCACCAACCTCCCCAAGATGGCGCACAATCTGATATAGAGATATACATTTAGAGATATACATTACACATTCCTATTAAACATATTTTCACATTAGTGATATTGTAAGTAAGAATTATAACCAATAGGAGGAACCACCAGAAAAAGGAAACAAAACTCAACAGAAGAGAAAAAAAAAAGCAAATAGTATGCTTCAATCTCCATTCAAATTCCATAGTTCTTTCTTTGGATGTGCATAGCATTTTCCATCACAAGGCCTTGGAAGATTTCTTAGATCCTTGTATTACTGGGAAGGATTAAGTTTATCAATATTAGTCATTGTACAACTTGGCTGTTATTGTATACAACATTCTCCTGGTTCTGCTCACTTCACTCAGCATCAGACCATACAAGTCTTTCCAGGTTTTTCTGAAGTCAGCCTGTTTATCATTTCTTATAGCACAATAGTATTCCATTATATTGATATAACACAACTTGTTCAGGCATTCCCCAATTGATGGGCATCCTCTCAATTCCCAATTCTTTGCCACCACAAAAAGAGCTGCTATGAATATTTTTGTACATGTGGGTCCTTTTCCCATTTGTATGATATCTTTGGGATATAGACCTAGAAATGCTATTGCTGTGTCAAAGGTAATCGTTCTTTAAATATCCATCTGGTACTGGGGATTTTTTCTGGGAGAGCTCATTGATGGCTTCTTCAATTTCTTTTTCTAAGATAAAGTTATTTAAGTATTCTATTTCATCTTCTGTTAAGTGAGTAATTTATTTTTTTTTTGGTAAATATTCATCCATTTCATTTAGGCAGTCATTTTATTGGCATGTAATTGGGCAAAATAACTCTTAATAATTGCCTTAATTTCATCTTCATTGATGAGGCATTCACCCTTTTAATTTTGATAATGGTAATTTTATTTCCTTTTTTAAACTGAATTAATGAATAGTTTACCTATTTTATTGGTTTTGTTCATTAAATCAGCTTCCATTTTTATTTATAATTCAATGGGTTTCTACTTTCAATTTTATTCAACTCTCCTTTGATTTTCATTTTGGTGTTGAGTTGGGTATTTTTAATTTGTTCTTTTTCTAGGTGGTGTTGTTATTGTTGTTTTTTAGTTGCATGCCCAATTCACTGATCTATTTCCTCTCCTTTGTTATAAACATTTAGAGATATACATTTTCCCCCACATACTGCTTTGGCTACATCCCACAAATTTTGGAAGGTTGTCTCATTGCTGTCATTTTTTTAAATGAAATTATTGTTTATATGACTTGTTCTTTGAGTGATTTAGATTACTTAGTTTCCAATTAGCTTTTAACCTATGCTTCCACAATCTTTTATTCCATATAATTTTTATTGTATTATGGCCTAAAATGGGTACTTTTAGTATTTCTGCTTTTCTGCATTTGGTTGTGAGGTTTTATTACCTAGTACAATTTGAAAAGGTATACTTTCTATTCAATTTGAAAAAGGCATACTTTCTATTCCTATTCAATCTTCTTTGCAGGTCTATCATATCTAGCTTTTTAAAGATTCAATTCCTCTCTTTAATTTCTTTCTTTCAAAATAAATATTTTATGGTTAGATTTATCCAG